AAATTTTTTGTAAAATATAATTATTAAAATATTTATTAACTTTTCTCATATTTCAAAGATTTGTTAAGTAAAAGATAATACTACTATCTATTATTAAGAAAGAAAAACTAGTATGAAAGTATATAATTTAACTTAGTATTAAAGATATCAATAAACCAAACTTGACAAGTAATAATTATCTTGTAGTTATAATAATCAAGTTTTTCTCATTATTACTAGATCATGTTATTTTGTTACTGCTATTATTGATTTTTTGAGTCTGCTTCAAACCTAAGCTCAAGTCCGGTTTGGTGTTTCAGTTAGGAACACTACACCCGAGAGTAAGCATCATCTCTAGTTTAAAAGTAAGAAAATTATGAAATAAACAACACCTTAGATTAATAATAATTATAATTTTTCTTGAGCCAGGGGAGGTAATTATGGGCGATTATTTGTTTGGGATGAGAAGTGAGCAAATCTTCTTTATATTGCACTTATTTAGGAATAATATCGATTGAATCCCGTAAATATTCAAGAAACTGTCTAGAAATAAGCACTCCTATTTTGGAGCCCAAAAAACGGCAGTCAAGTGATGCTTATTTGTGGGGGAATACGAAAAACTACAAACCCATGTTTGCAATAAATGTCAAGAAAACGAACGATCGTTGCTGTGAACTTTACAAAAGAGTATCGAAAGTAATAAAAGCATGCAGGCATTTCCATCGGATCCCCTTTGTAAAATTTATCAATATCTTGCAAAAACTATTTTAAGCTTTTTGTACTATCAGAAATGTGTCCATGAAGAAAATACATTTATATGAGATGATAGAAACCGAGTTGCTGTGTTGAAATCATTATGTGATGCAGTCAGATTATAAAAAGGGGGTAAAATCGAAGAATTTTAAAGATTAAACAACTTTTTTTTATTCTTGACAATTCAAAAATAGATGCGGACCGTTCTAAGCCTAGTGAAAACAATTTGGAATAAGTTAATATAAAATAGCTAAAAGTCGGTGATAATGGGAGGAAATTTCACATTTAAGTTGGATTATTAAAGCGCTAAAAAATTTATGGAAATAGAGCTTATGAATCGTGACTTTCACCTGAGTCACAAAACAGCATTCCTACGTATGTAAACAAAAATCCGCCCAAATGCAATTTACACCAATTGGATATTGGACACATAATTGATACAAATTCCAACTAATTGAGCTCATTTTGAAAGATTTAGATTTTACTAGTGTCTGCCTGCATGCGCCAAACGAAGCAAATAATATTGTTTTTTATTTTATTCGTTTTTCTTTATTGTTACAAGAACTTTCGATATGTATTACGATTAGAACAAGTATACCAAGGATCCGAATGATTTTTAACAACTTTATGATGAAACATCTCCAACATAATAAGACACTATGAGAACACATTCTTTGTAATTAAAAGAAAAAAATTACTTTATCTAAAGATTTACTCTTAATGTATAGTTGAATGTTTTTTGTATGTAAAGTTAATTTAAAGTACCAGAACGAAGTGAATATCATAAATTATGCTTCTAAAAGCTGATGTAAAGTATTAAAAAAATATAATATCAATCATATACTCTAAACCCGTATAAAAGAAGTGAATTTGGGATAAATAAAAAAAATGATAAAAAGTACAGTAGTCATTGTTCAATTGTTTTAACTCGAAACACATTGAAATCGATCCGATACAATTTTCAGGCTTATGTTTTTAGATTTTAACGAAATGAAACTTTATTTAATTAATTATTGTATTTTATCTTCACTTGAAACATATTATATTCCATTATAAGCAAGTATATTAACATACAATAGGATTACATTTATATTGTTATTAATATTCAACGCTAAATCTAAAAAGTGGGGTTGATGTATCTCAGCATTGTAAGTGTAGTGTGATCTATATTGTGCGTAAAACTCTAACAATATTATTCACCCTTTTTCTAACTTAGTTATAACCTGGGTTAACTTCATTATTAAATTATGTACCGGCGTACGTTTCATATTTATATCAAACATGTCTTCATTATATCAACAAAATATAAAGAGCAACCTTTATCTAATATGAGAAGTTGTTTGCTGTTAAATTCAATAACATGGTGAAATTTTGTGACATCTTGCACTGGTCGAATCGAGTAAGGTTTCACCTTGGGTAAAAAACCAGGGCTAATTAATAATACCGAAAAATACAAATACAATTTATCTTGTTTTCATTTTCGACTCATATTTAGGATAAGATTCCTAACCAATCGGAGAACAATAAAGTGCGTGTAAAAGACCCATTGTTAACCAGAATCATTTTTAGATCGCTGATCCAATTTTTTTCTGCCGAAAAAAATCGAGTTTTTCTTAAGCAAACCCAGATGAGTGACTATGCATTTTTGGATATCATCTTGCGAACTCCGTATACTTATCGACCGAGTATGCCTATCGACTGCGTAGTCTACAAAAGCTAGCACGATACTAACTCATCGATAACGAAACTACCCAAATAATTTACCGTGGTTTTGACATGACATCATATTGTCAAAATCTATACTATAAAGTTGCATTTCCATACTTATTTTTTCTGTACTTTATTTCACGGTGAAACCTACCCTGTTTGACCAGTGTTGGACACAAACGTGCATTTTAGAAGCGGCAAAAGATAACTCAAATCTTCTGGTATTCTATAATTGAATTAGTAAAGTATGTTAAACTTATTAGATAAGCACTGTATATTTTATAATTTAGTACTTCTAGAAATTATCTTTAGAGCATCAACAAAAATTTCCCTTCAAGTTTATAAATATTTAGATAGAAGCTAAAGAACTTCTTTATTATTATTACTTGACATCGTGTTTAATTTAATTTAATTATACTTATAGAATTGGTCTTATCTTTATTAATAATAATATTCTATAATATATTAATAAGTATTATTATATATTTTAATTATGATTATTCTTTCTCTAAATATAATTTTTTAAGATTATAATGCTTTTAAAAAAGAGACTATCTTTTATAAAGAATATACTAACTATAAATCCTATAGTATATGATCTATAAAATATATATTTGAATAATATTTATTTTATATTTTTAATTAATCAGATAACATAATTATATTATATGAAAAGTAATAACACTTATTAAAATATAATACAATAAATTTTATATAAAATCTAACTGTATCTTGTTTTTATATGAAACAAGTTTGTTTTTTAATAGAAAATTCTAAGCCAATTATTTTTGCAGCTTGGAATCAAATGCGATTTGTAAATCTGATTGGTCAATTATTTTGTCAGTAATTTTGATATTTTGGTATTTAGGGGCGTGGCAGATACGTATTAAACCTGAAACGTTATTTTGGGGATATGTAGGTAACATTTCAGATCCCCATATTTATTAAATCACAGAAAGGAAGAGGTTACCTCTTAATATCTGGCACATCCCTTGCTGATTGTTTCAAAACTCCGTGTTTAGGCTTTGGTTTATTGCCATAGTTAATTATGGTAGTGGCTGATCATTTCTTTTTGAAATTCGCGGGATTTGTTTGAAATCCGATTTGTCCAACTAAAACTTTAGTTTTTTATTTTATGTCAATTTATCTTTACTATGCATTCAACATTATTTTTGTTTACAGCAAGTTAATACTGTATATTAGATAAGCAGTGATGATGCCATTTTGCTTATAAAAAAAATCCAATATACATGTACTCTATAGAATAGGTTTCCAAAAATAAATTTTACAATCTTATATAAAAATGATTTGAATGTTAGCTATGAAATATGTTTGAACATTGAAATTTCTTGAACCTTGAGGATGCATCGACAGTATTTGCATTTTAAATTATACTCATTCCTGTTAATGAAATGATTTTTCTTATCGAGCTTGCACATAACGAATAGCTTTTAGAGGGATGAGAACGATAAAAAAAATAACTACGAATCAGAAATTGCTACGTCAACACATTTTCTTATCAATTTCTCACATAATCGAGGTTAGAATGTAACCATTCAATCCTCAAGTTCGAGCAAATTAAAAGAATTCTTTGTTAACCATATAAAAAATATCTTTATCTGATAAAATTATCATAAAAAGGAAGCTAAACTCAAAAGCTTTGGTGCCAGTATCAAAAGATTTGTTTTATCTTAAAAAAGTTATATTTCTTGCAGTATTGTGCCTTTGTTTGAAAAACACATTCATCTCTCAATTTCTCACCCTTCTTCACTCACCCTTTCTTTTTTGATAATAGATCAAATTGCATAACGATGATTTTTTATAAAATAAGCACGCACAGGATTGAAAACACGCATGGATATTCGTGTGAGAAAAATGAATGATAATATTGATTTTTCTATAACAAACAATCATCTCGTACACAGTGAAAGGAGAAAAAAAGGGGTCTAGAACACGTTTCAATAAATAACAATAACAAATTAAGTAACATAAATAAAATCGATTTATGTTGTGTGAGAACTTAAAAGTATCGATATTCTTGTTCTGTAACACGCATATTCAGTTGAACGATCAAGTTAAATTGCATGCGGAAATTGGCCTGTGCGGCATCAAAAGAAGGATTATTCTGTTTGACAGTTCTCACGAGAAATATCCTTATTAAATGCACTCAAAATATTGAGCCAAATGCATGGTAACACACAAAGGAATGGTTAATTCTGGCAGGAAAAGATTTTGCATCTCCCTTTGTGCTCGCTTCATTTGTAAGGATCTAAATTATTGGAGAATTTTATTATCGATGCAACTAATTTTCTTTTGTCAGCTTAAAGCAAGAGAAAAGGCTTTATACAGAAAAAGCCTGTTTTTAATTTAAAAAGTCACGCTCAAGCAGCTCGAAGAACAGAAAGTATATATTGTGGTGCCTTCTATTTTAGATTCCAAGGATTACATTTAGAGTAAAAAAAAAAAAAAAACCAAAAATACTCCAATTTACAGAGGGACGGGTAGAAAAGATAATTAATAAGTGCATGATTATCATTCAAAGATCTTCGGTGCATTTGCTCATGTGTAAGGCGTGGCCAATGTGTCTCAAAAATATTCGATCGAATTCGTTGTAACACTTCACTGCAGATTTTTAAGAGTTTCCGGTATCTATGCGAACACACAAATAGAACAAAGTTTTTAGTTGTCCTTGCTATTTTTATTCGATTTATCGCAGAAATCCTGCAAAATTTTGTGAAAATAAAAATAATAATTTGGAGGCTGTTCAAAGATCTGCAATCGAAAAAATTTCATGGTCAGCCAATGAACCATATCGATACGCGCATAACGCATGCGGAAAAGAAATCGGTGGATTATATCCAATCAAGGTGCATATTTACATTGCACATGCTTACGGACGCTAACAGACGAAAACACTAAATAAAAAATAAGATTACCCTGGGACCCATAGATTTGATGTCATCATAATAAATATGAGATTAAAACGGTTAGATAGCTTCCAAATGCGGTATTAGAATAAGTTGTAAGTAGAAAAATGTCAAAAAACTAAAAAGTTTAAAGTTCATCAAATATGCATGTATGTGCACAGCTTGTGAGAAAATCAACATTGGGTACATTGTTCAATTAAATTTGCCCAAAACCTCCAGACAGTGTACTCGAATTTATCTTAAAAATTTGTGAAATTTCAAACATTTATCAACAAACATAATACACATGTATATACTTGTATTATACTTGTACATACTTGTACATGTATTCGCTAATTGGTCAAATTCATAATCGCAGAATGCAATGTTAAATTTTAAGCGTCAATAGCATTTCCAAAATTTAAGGGTGATAAATTTGTGATAAAAAGAACCCTTTTACGCCCCCCCTCCCCCAAAATGTGAAAACGTGATGATTAAAAATCAAATCGTAACATCACGATATAATGTCTGATTGTCATATTTTTAGGAGACGACTTCTGCCGGATTAACAATCCTCTTCTTCCCTTTCTTCCCAAATATTATTTTCCTTTATTTGGAAAAACTTGTTTATTTATAAAACAATTGAAACAAAAAAAACCAATTCTTGAAGTATAAACAAAGCTGCACTGATGAATGGATTGAAGATTCCGTGCACATAAATTCATATAGCTGAAACGACCAAAGTTTTTCTGAGCGCGGTAACAAAGGAATTGTCTTTTCTTATTCTTTTAATTCCTCGTTTGTTCAACGCTGTGAGATTTAAAGATCGATTTCATGCAAAGAATCTCTATTGGCATGATCATCAACCGGAGAATTTCAAGGAAACACACGCGTCCTATACCAAACCCGTTTAGATACTTATTTTTCTGATCAATGCACGGATTTTTTTAGTCATGGCATGGGCAATGGCTTACTAACCTAAAATTTACAACAATAGTAATTAGTCAAAAAAGCCTTCCCGATTGCAAACAATGTTTCTTCAAATTTCCGATTGTTTTATTGAGGCCCGTGTAATAATTCATTCTCAAATAAACCCGCATATTTTGAATGACACCCGTACTCTATTGCGAAAATAAAAACGGTAAGATCGCCGGTTCGTAGTAGGTTGAAATTTAAAGCAATTTGGTTTCTTCCATTCAAAAATAAGGTGATTGATACTTCAAAAATATTTTAACATGTCACATTAAAATGATACTCCAATGGCAGAAATTATTACATCTTTAAGAAGTATATGTACGTATGTAACAATTTTCTTTACCCCACATAAACAATGAAGTCGTATCACTGTCCAATATCCCTGCAGAATTAATTTTTATGAGATACAGTTAGATAAATGTGAACGTTAATTTTTACGTATCGGTAAATCTCGTACTTTATTGCCCAACACATTCGAAGCTTGAAAGATTTTCTCCCGTGAGATTTTCTCCCGTGAGATTTCCTCTCGTGAGATTTCCTCATCAAAGTATCTAACGTACGTATGGGAACATACCGTAGACAAAAGTAACCTCTTGCCACGCTATGTTCTTGTTATTGATTAATTTTCGTCATATCTCTTTTTGAGATGCACGACGCACATTACCGTAATCAGAAAACGATTTCATTCTTTCTTTGTTTCATTCTCTTTATTATTTGCTATTTTAATCACCATGACTCGCCGCTAATCGTTAAATGCATTGTGCTGTATCACAAAAAACACAGAGATATCTCTTATTATAATATTTACAATAATCTTTCATAATACCCCGCGAAGACTATTTCCTTTATTGGATTTCTGAGTGGGACTGATGATTGCACTAGAATGGATTAAACAAAGAAATTACGTAGAGAAGTTTTGATGACCTTGATAGCGGTTTCCTTTTCAAACTAATAATAACGTGATAAAAGAAGAAATGATCTCGAGAAACAAACAAAACCAAAATATTGCCGTTTATCTCTCACGTCAGCCAGCATACATGAAATTTTTTCGGTCAAATCGCTGGTAATCATTGCTTATCTTCTTCTCACATGCTATATCCTATGCACAATGATAAGTAATCTCGCTGGTATTGCATAAATAAAAAAAATATATTAGGCATTTGATTTTATTAGATTAAAAAATAACATGCCACAATTAATTTTGCATGAACGTCACACAACGTAATCTGCCAAAACCAGTGATAGGGGATTGGCTCTTTCTCGTAATTTCCGATCATTGAAATAAATAACCCGACAACAATGTAATCTCCGTTAATATTCTTTTTGTCGAATTATAGTTTTTTATTATCTCATTTGAGTTCACCAAGACGTACGTTGTTCTTGCCTAAATCCGACGATTAACGCATACATCAATGAACATAAAAAAATCGAGTCCGCATTTTACATGCATACACACAATTATTGCGCATTGCATTACTGGGATGGGTCAGGGCGGTGGATGTCTGTCCTTCTATACGAGGGGCATAATAACGCAACATCGCTGGTTACCATGCTTAGAAAAACAGTCCCTGTTATGCTGCTGTTTATGCCTTCTTTTATTCATGTCCATTCCATATTATGATGATAATAGTAATAACGTAAAATATTTGCATAAAGTTACTCACTATACTAAAAATGGTAACGATAACTGATTATTCTTCCTTCCAACAATCATTATGGATGACGACAGATTAACCTCTTTTTTGTGTTCACAAGCAGGTTGGATAGATGTTTCCATAGATGTTCTATTTGGTTTGAGATACATATTGTGTAACAATACACACATACAATATAATTATTCGACTAACGCTAAACGTGTACCTTATGGCATGTTAAAGTAATGTGATTGGATAAAGTAAAATTACAACATTATCATTTTCCGGTCTGCAATCTTTCTTAATTAAAGTGTCCCTTCCTGCAAAAGATTGATTAATTCATGTACCCCGATTTCATATTCATCCATATACGCACTTGAATAACACAGTTAAAGATCAATTTCGTATTTAAACCCGTTAATTAATAATTAAAGTGCCGGCATTAATATACAACAATGGACGATAAGATTAAGCTAATTAATTAGATTAATTAATTTAACAAAGGTTTCATCAATCACATCACATTGAACACGTTCATAAAAATGCTCTCGATACAGAATAGGATATTTAAGGAAGAATTTAAAAATGAAGTGATGATTAGAAAAAAGTCGTTGTTCCCTGGAGATTATCACATAATCTTATTGAATCACCAATCATTGTTTCTAGGGTCGAATTCTAAAGATAATGGGTGATATGATGATGGTACAAATCTTTTGGCGAAAAATCGCCACGTTTTATCTGAAGAATCAATTTGGTATCGTATATGACAAATGACCCAAAAAACTCGCAAAGCAAGTTTTTATATTGGTTCCTGTTTATTCTCACGTGACTAGGAAATTAGAGTTTTTCTAACAATTGAGATTATCATTTTCTCTGCATGATTTCATGTGGAGATGTGCATGCGCATAAACATTGCGACAATGATGGCAAACATGATAAATAAAAATAAGGTTCACAATTATTACTGTCAAAAATTATATATTTTTTGACGAAAAATTTTAGGTGACAAAAAATATTGGCATTAAACAAGAAAAGTTAGATCACCAATTTTTGAATTTACGAAATGAGCAAATATGAAAGTAGTGGGTAACTAGACACTATGAAACAATTATTTTATATCCGCGCTATAGTATACCATAAAAAGAACATATCTTGTTGCAATAGTAAAAAATTCGGAAAATGTCGGAATGATTTATTTATTGTTAAAGATCATAAAGATAGCACAATAGAAATAAAAGTTCGATAATTCCAACAGAAGTTTACTATCATTATTATTATTATTATTATTATTACTATTATTATTATTATTAACAGATTATGCACAAAATTGATGGTCACACATACATGACATACACATCATACAATGAGTCACGAACCATAACTAATTCATTAAAAATTTTTGAGTAAACGATAAAGCTTTTTATGGTAGATTTTGAGGTTACAAGGTCTCAACGTGAAACGCGCGTTACTCTCACTGCTACGTGTACTTGCTTTGCCTGTACAGCAGATTCATTCTTATCTTTTTTCTCGATACTAAAAGTGGATAAATATTATAAAACGAAAACAATAAACTCAATCATCTCATTCACATGTTAATATTATCACGTGCACTCAAAGTAATTTTTGAATAACGATAAAAGATATCAAAAACAAAGGAATTTGTATATCTGCCCAAAAATTAAGCCAATATGTCACTAATATGTCAACCGCATTTTTGAGCATTTGACATAGATCGTGATTTAACTAGTTATGATCAAGATTTCGTCGAAAAAAACAAACAAAATCCGAAAAATGTGTAGCTTTTCTCAAAAACACGACATTATCGTGTAATTGAAGAATCTAACGCGTTTTTATACTTAGGTTTTGGTTAATGCGGATAAATTTGTAATTGGCTAGAGTTAAGCACGTTAAGATATTCATCTTTTGCAGTTTAATGCATACTTAATTCAGGCAAAAGAGAAAAACCAATAAATACATTGATCGTTTATTTATTCTAACATGAGGAAAGACCCTTTGAATCTTTTGTTTTATTTATATTGTATGGTTATTTTCTCTCGTAACTCGTAACAGTTAACGGAGGTACACCTTAATTTATTATTTCTATGTGTAATAAACAAAAGTTATTTGCGTGTATGTTCAACATTTTATGCATGAATTATTCTTATTTTAGAAGGGAGCAAAAACAAAATTTATTGTTATACACTAAAACTTTGTGTACTTTTAATTAATTAAATTCCACGCGTGATCATTCATGGAGTTTACTTATATATCTATATGGCAGTTCTTGTGTACCTTAAACTGAAACTTATGCTCCCAATTTTTGAATTTATTGATTATGAAAGGATGAGGCTTAAAGAGTCTCTTCATTATACAAATGTAAACATTCCCTATACTTACCTACCTACACGTTTGTCCAAAAAGATCTGCTATTGTTGATCGTACGCGTCTTAAATATATGCACTGATCATCTGTACAATCAAACAACGATCTATCCTTTAGGACCCGAGTTTGTTTTCTTGGGTACCTCAAATTTTGGGGGAGGGACAGTGATGCCCAAAATAAACGAACAGAGCATTCATCAAAATTAAATAATAACACAAACAAAAGATCCTTTTGTTGTGCTCTTTGTTTTTTTTCTATGTCGTCATTTTAGCACAAATAAACGCATCCTCTATTATCCTTTTGCACTTTTTTCGTGGTGACTGACATGTTATAAAAACCGATTTTCCTCCGAATCACGGTCACACGAATGATTTCATGCGACATAAATATCGGTAAAAAGTGGGGTGGATTGTCAAATCCACATGTTTGCTAGGAGAAACAGGTTGTAAATGTGGTATGTGCGTCTTCCTTTTCTTTTTGTTCTATTTACCGTGGCCGGTGACACAGCACTTGGTCAGTGCGTTGTTATTCTCTTTGATGATAGTAATACTCTTATTATTTTCGAAAAATCTTTCGATTGCCCAAATTGAAATATGGTTTCTTATTGAATTTAACAATTCTCTTTTTTAAGGATAACACTGTTATGGTCAGGTGTAGATGGAATGGAGCTAAGTGACGATGAGATAAGTGACGTGGTGACATAACTTTTCATTACTTGTATGCACACACATTATCGAAAGAAGTTGATGTGAATTCTACATAATATGATTTTTTTGATTGCTAAACTGCCTATTTCAGACGATTCGAGCTTTTCGTATCTTTAACGATTAAATTAAATTTAACTGACGAGATAATAATGTACGATGAAGTCGGTGGCAAAAAAAATAAACAAATGATTGTCGTATGTTTATTTATAAAATTTATATGCATTGCGAATCGATACACTTAAACTATATTCATTTAACGTGTCGTTTCTTTAGAAAGTTATAGAGCCTTATTGATAAAAAACGACACTCGTTTTAAGGTGATAAGTTGGGAACGGTTGGGAGAGATTACTGACTATCATCACCATACCATCATTATCACAGTTTACGAAGAAAAAAATGCCACCTGCATTGTTACCCGAGCCAACAATTACGAGCATTGACCACTCTGCTATTACCGAATGCATGCGCATACATAATTTTAAGCGATTCCAAAAATTTTTTCGCGAGTATAACACAATGAGTCTTATTTGCTTGTTGCTGTGCTGCATGTTCATTTCGTTTCACAGAAATTATTTCCTATCCCTTTTCCTGTGGTTAGACCAAAAGTTTTCTCAAAAATTATCAGTTCGCCAAAATAGAAGCCAAATACCCATAATAAAAAATAAATATACTATATTGCCTAATTCCAGATTCTAATCCTAATTTTATTCTCTAGTTTCGGATCCCATCTCCATTGATAATCCTTAATATAGACTTTTCATTCTAATTTCTATTTTTTCATTGTAATCTTAATTAGGGAATGCAATAATAAAACTTGTGACGAGTACTATTTACAGTAAATATATGATGAGTTCAAAAACACGGTAAAAAAACACACAATATACACTTACATTTTTGTCATACTTTTGTTAATGGTGATAAACTAAAATAACATCTTTTACCAAACAATCAGTATAAAATGTAGAAGAACCGGTTTAATTCTGCATTTTAAGTTATTCTTGTGTACCAATCTAACAAATAAACAATACCGCTAATAACGATTGGCCAATTAATTTATGATAAGAAACACGATAAATTCTCGTTCACCCTAGATGCTATATGCTATTTAGAATTTCGACTCACTCTCGATATACATGGTAAGATAGGTTTGGGCAAAACTTTAAAATCTTAAATTTGCCAAGAACCTGCAAGATTATCGACAAACCAAGAATCTGGGTATTTTGAACATCTCACGACTGTGAGGGTGTAATTTGGCTAAAGAATTTTTACTCGTGATAAACAACTGGAATGCTTATTCAAAGTTATTAATAGCGGTTTGTTTATTACGTAAAAAAATAAGGTTATGATTTTACGCATTGACATATGACAACAATAAATAAAAATTTGCTTATGCGCATGCGCGCATTAACCCAAAGACACTAGGTAATACTAAAATCCTCGATGTAATGCTAAAAACCAAGATAAAAATCTTTCTCGATAAAGTTTAATTCTCGAATTTTGATAGTATCTGAATTATAATTTTTTTCATAACGTCTAAAATCGAGAAATTATAGTATTATATTCGTAAGAATATTGAGTTTTTTAATCAGTTCTTAATTAAGGTTTTTCTGTTATAAATCCGCCTAAATTCCTATTTGGAAAATCAATCTTTTTTTATCGAGATGTGTAAATGCCCCAATCAATATTCCCATTTAGGAAAAATCGGTTATTCAGCGGAATTTGTATAGATCGACCAAAAAATAACGATGAATTTTTTTCTAGCTTTCAAACAAGTATGAAAACAAACTTCGATCTGGAGGCGTTTAAAATTTTTTTCGTGATTTCTCATGGTGCAATAATATTTACATGTAGTATACCTGCAGGATCGATAATAAAGAATAGTAAAATTATCGTTATATGCTCCTGTCAAAAATAGGCAATCAATGAGAGCTTATAACAAAAAACTTACAAGTTGTAGAAATTTCCCAGAATCCACTCAAATTTCCCTATTATTTTGGGATGAAGGCTTTTACATTGAGGCTGATTACTTTTTATATCATTTTAGACAAATATTAAATCATTATTACGAAAACCGGGATATACGCACCGTATTATTATTATTATTATTATTATGTTACATTGGATTTTCTCCCTAATTTTTTTTTGCAAACGGATGTTCAGGGTGCAAGAGATTGCCACGATAAAAAAAATAAAAAACAAAATTTTTCGAATATTCTGCGATTTTCAATTCTATCAATTTGTGCTCACAATATTTTTTTATCGAATCATTCGATATACTTGTAATTCTTAATTTCCATATGAAGTAGGAACGGAAAGATTGCATGATGACATTTAACAAAAACATCAGTAAATAATACACCATCTTTGCGTTTCAATCCACGAATATCAAGAATCGTTACTGCTTGGAACAAATATTGAATCATCTAATCAACACCGCCCCGCTAATTTATTAATTATGTAACAAACGAAATGCAATCCTCCAATTAATCTTTCCGACCATATCTGAAGCTAATCATAAAAACGAAAAAAAAGGAGCGCGAATACCCATTCCATTGTATGCACACACGCGCCATGTATGTCACTAACCACAAATTATGCTAGACTAGAAACTTAGTAAACATAAATATAACGTATCTTGTCGATCGTTATTGTTCATTTACTTGCTTGTTTGGCTTATACTTGCATTCTTTATTGAATTCATCAACCAAACCAATCAAATCTTTCATTCATTCATTCATCAGGTTCATTACCCCACCTTTTTTTGTGTGTTTAAATCGTTATATATGTATGCAAATGTGGATATGTACCCAATCCCACTTATATCGTTCTATCATGTTGGAACATTTATTGGATGAAAAATCTATTTAACTTAGTTTATCATTTTTCGAGAATAAAAACAGGGGGTCTGATTTACTAAAATCCTCGCTATTCCCCTTTTTTTTAGCTCAAATGTCACGCTTTTTACCCTTGCTAATTTGAAACGTCCGACTTTAATTCTAGAAGTTTACATGATGCGGCTATTTATGCAAAACAAGTGACGTTTTTATTTCATTAACGTTAAAGTCAACATCTCAGTTTTGTGTTTACTTATCATATTCTCCCCCTTTTTTAATTTCATTGGTTTTTTTTTGACATTGGACTCGATTCTCAATTATCATCATGATCTATGATTTAATTCTAATTCCTAATCCCCAATCTTCAATTCTCGCCGAATATAAAAAATTGCGGGCGTCGTATATAGAATCAATCATCACACAACAAATAACCAAAAATATCATCATCGTCATCGTCATATCATCACCTATCATTTTCGCTTATCGATAGCTAAAAAAAAAAACAAACAGAGTTACCCGAGCAACAAACAAACTCAACGGTTACTCGGAGACGGACAATCCTTAACTAAACAAACAAATGTGACGTCAACGTCAAAAATTTTTTGCCCGAAAAAGAAAATCAACATGAGCAACGAAGACGACGACGATAAATCAATAGTCATAATTACCGTCATGAATTTAGAAAAACCACTCCCGAAAACGACGCGAAACTGTTTTTTGTAAATAAACCGGTTCGCTTGAATTTTCTCAACACACAGTAGTCTAATACATCGCACATGCAATTAGTTTTACCATTATTCTCGTACTCTATCTAATTTTTCCTAATCAAAAATCCAGTATCAATGTTACTCGCTGTGCTTGTATATTCGACACGCACACACACAAAAAATCTAACAATAATTTTCCATTATCTCGTCAACCGGTTGTTTCTCCTGAAATAAAGATTTCATTATATTTTTTGTAATAGAAATCATTTGTGTGTCAGCGCACATATATTATGATTTACCACATTATACAGTAGTAATATATTTTAGTGAATACATGTAATAATATATTTATGATGTTAGTATGTCAGTATGCACAAATGTATAATACAATCATTTTTTTATTAGTAGTCTACTTATTTATTTATACGTTATCAAGTAGTAGTTTATTTGATATATATATGTCTACCTGAAAAGGTTTTTCAACTTTGCAAAAATCGCTCGTTCGCTTCTCTCTCTTATTTTCCGCCTACTTCTTTACTTTTTCTCTCTCATATTCTCATCACTACAATAAAAAGTAAAAAAGAAAAATTCTTTGACGACATTCATAAAAAAAAGCGACAATAACGACGTTACGTTTTTTATCAGTTTTTCATTACTCTTCTTAATATTTAAAAAAAACCAAAACAAAAAAAAAAGTTTAATTTTACGAAACTTGCCAAAAACAATACACATTGACACTTAGTTCTTCACCTTTATTTCTTTAGTTTTTGTGCATAATTCTTTCCATTTCCTTTTTCATTTATCAATTTAAAAAAATTTTATATATACACCAAAAAAAATAGCACGAATTTATTTTTGCTCGGGCGCAACCCTTTCTATATCCACACGATTCTTAATTTGTCGTCGTCATATTTCACATACGTCTTAACAACATCCACATCATTTACCTCAATTCACGTTAATACACCAAGTCATTAAAGCGAACGGTAACCGAGAAGAATTACATATAAACGAGAGAAAAAGAAGCGGCGAAACGAAAAAAAAAGCGACGAATAATTGATTGATTAATTAATTAATTAATCTATTAATTTATCTATTGATTAATTGATCGTTTGGATATTAAAATAATAAAATAAAAACGACTACAAACACACAAGTAAGTATTTGGTTAATTGTTTTTTTCTATTTTGGATAATCTTTGATTATTAAAAAAAAACAACAACACGGCGACAGCATCAACAATAATAATAAAAAATATTATTTAAAGTATGTGTTTTTGTATCATTGGATGATTGATTGACGGTGGTGGTGTGATGATGATGACGATGACGATGATAATTCTAGTTCATTTTGCATTTATTTTTACTTATTAAACATTAAATCATTTTCCGAAACAAGTTAAAATAACACACATATATACACACACATACATATTTATTATATATATATTTATAGATATACATAAAAAAAAGATATGCACCCTCAATTCATTATCACATATATTTTTTTTTTATCACTTTTATTTTGTTTATTCTATCTTCCATATGCATATGCATATAAATTCATATAAATTCTACTTTATAATATAGAAAAAGTTTCTTAGACCCTCGGATCATCAGACCCTCTTCTTCAATCAATCTATTAACTAAACAATCACACTTTTCAACAAAATTCTATATATATACACACACAAAACTTTAAATTTATTCATAAACAAAAAAGAAAAAAAACTATACGATCAACAAAACTAAATGAGAGATACAAAAATACCCCAACTGATTGATATATACCTCCTTGAATTTTTTCTATACTGAATCACCAGCATCACCACTTATCATTATCACACGCACACATACACATATATATAATAATAATGTTATTTATTATTTATAAATAACGAAATAATAAACTAAACTTTTTCAAATATTTTTCTACAGGATCAAGTAACATCAATAACAATAAACAACAAAAAACAATAAAATATTATAAGAACTAAATAATACGACCATCAATAACGAGTGCGACAGCTTCTAACGACAATTCGTTTGCATATAAAAATTTTATCTCTCTCCTCACTATATATATATATATATACACACACACACACACATATACATATACATATATATATAGCAACAACAACAACAAAAAAAAAATGGCACAGTCGACTTCTACGTATCCAACGACGACAACTGATATGTTTGGTGTTAGCAGTAATGGTAATAATAGCGGAAACAGTTGTTCTTATCAGACAGTAATGCAGCAACACCAACCGCACCAACATTTTTTTCCAATGTCGACCACGAACGCTACTTCCATGCACCAACCACCACCGCACATTATCAGTAGTAACAACCTTAATAACAATAATAATAGCAATAGTAACAATAACGGTAACAATAACCTACACCAGAGCTGTAACAATACTAGCGCTTTTATTACTGACAATACCAACGGAATATATAATAACGGCTCCGCCACATTACCGTCCAAAAAGCGTAAACAACAACCACCGTTACCACAAGAATATCATCAAAACTACACCTTGACAAATTCTTGTTCTTCCGTTGCTACTGCTCTATCTTCATCAGCGGAACTCTATCTACTTCAAAATCAAAAAACTAATAATTCTTCATCAATCTATATGCCACATCAACAACCACCACCACAACAATTCCAATATCATCCACAATTGAATACTTGCCAGATGAACGCAAATCAAAATCTAAATCAAAATCTCTTTCAAAATCCGGCAACGGCTTGGCCAGACTTCATAAGGTCGGAATCTCCATCGCCGCAATCATTCTCTCCGCCTTTATCCACTTCCGCTACTTCAAATACTTGTACCAATAACAACAACAACAACAACAACGACAACAACAACAACAATAACAACAATAATTGTTCTCGACACAATGATAATCTTGATAGTAATGATCATAATACGCCATCATCCACAACATCTATAAGCCTACAAGATTGGAATGATGCTTGTGCTAATCTCACATCTGACGCGATGGTTTCCTATCAACTATACACAAATTTCAATAATGCTGCGGCAACAGTTTTTTCACCTCAAGATTTCGCGAATAATGGCGGTGACGCTACTATGGATCAGGGTAATGGAAATAATCTTGATGATGATGGTAATAATGGAGCTCATGAGACAATCACGGGACCCTTCGATTATAATGGAAATGTATCACCGAACGTGTCTGCTACCACAACTCCGTTGATACCCTGTGGCGTGATGACTGGCAATGGTGCTGGACAAGAATCCCATCAACAGTTAGCTCCTACGAATTTCCCCTCGCCAGTTTCTACCTCAAGTTCCACGTCACCATTAATATCCCCATCATCTTCATCTCCTCCACCATCGTCTTCATTTTCCGCATTAAACAACAACAATAGCTATCAGCTAATGATGAAATCGAATTCAAACGCAAATAGTGGTCTGGTTAATTATTCTTGCTCGCAACCAACCTTTAAGCCTCAAACTTGCCTTCTTGATCAATTGGCTGTTGCCACCGCCGTGGTCGCTGATCAAGATAAACCTGAAAAAATGCAACAACAGCAAAATCAATTTCATATTAATACGCAAACCCAACAACAATCAAGAGATCAATTAAGCCATCAAGAAAAACAAAAATCATCATCGGAGACAAAACCCAAAAGAAGATCATCTCGATCAAAGTTAACAACAACATCAAAAAAAGAGCAACAACAAACCGCTCAAAACACCCAACAAGCTTCTATTAGCGATGCACAAGAATCCTCGCGTATAATTAATCGTAGACCAAATTTAACTCAGCTAAACATTGACACCACTAACACACAACCATCATCCAATTATTATCAATTATCATCAGCTGAATTCAATTTCACACCTGACACGCCATCCTCATCCGCCACTGTTGCTTTATCGGCGTCAACGCCCGTATTCCTTCCTAATTCGGGCTTTCTCGATGTCAACGAGCAAATTATGAATAATGGGTATGGAATTGACCCGAATCTATCAATTGACGCAGCTCTTTTGGATGCCGCCACCGCCGTTTCTTTATCATCATCATCGGGAACATCAGATTTTGATGGTGTTGCAACTACTTTTTCGGTGGATCAGATTATGGACAATCTTCCTACTGTTACACCGGCTGCCGTTTCCACACTTGATCAACATTATAGTCCACAACCTTCTTTCACTGAGTTGCTTACTCAAACGCCACCAAATGCTATCATGGATTCTAATCCCGTTGAGGACATGGATACCAATAGTGATTATTTCACCAGCAAAATTTCACGACAGGATAATGCGAGTGGCTATGTTGACAATGATTGTTCACATCGCGCTCCAATAACTCCCGTGCGTCGACGTAGTAGCATTATGTCAATTCCACCAAATATCAAATATGAACAGACTGTGACAACGCCCGTTTTATCACCACCTGAAACTCCAAAAGAATTTTATCCTTCGCCTCCTTCGGCATCTCCTTCTCCACCGAATACACCGACATATGGTCGCCGGGTCTCTATTTCCCCTACTATCTTGGAGGAAGATGAGGACGCGTTATCAATCAACCCATCGGTCCCGGAAATCAATATGAATGGGGTTTCGGTCATGTCCGCCGCTGCAGCGATTCCATTGAACCTGACTAATTCCGTTGAAATGATGAAACCAATCATTCAGCAATATTTATCTTCACCTAATCCTGCTTCATTGGGCGAAAAGACTGTTATGGTGTTAACTTCAAAAGTTGCTCAGAAATCATATGGCACCGAAAAAAGGTAAACTACGATCGATAATAAACCTGGGTTTTTTAATTGAATGAAAATTAATGATATTGACATTATTTTTTTTTATTCGTAGATTTTTATGCCCCCCTCCGACTACATTGATTTTAGGTTCAAACTGGTGGACTCCGTCTCAATCTACTACTAGTGATGGAATTGTTGGTAATGGAACGACGACAACATGTCACGGAACAACTACTACACTCAGCGCTCCAAAAATCACGGTAGGCATATCAGGCGAACAAGGACATCAACAAGGAATACTAGAATGGATTAGTCCAACAGGAAATCCTCTCGATCCATCATCCTGTACAGAAATGGCGTTCAGCGGAAAATGTGTATCCAAGCATTTATATATTAACGATGCGGATGAGAAGAGAAAACGAGTTGAAGTGCTGGTAAAGATCGTAAGTCCACTTGGACACAATTTTGGCACATTCCCGAGCAAACCAATCAAAGTTATCAGCAAACCAAGCAAAAAACGACAAAGCGTAAAGAACATGGAATTGTGCATTCATCACGGTACTACGATCTCATTATTTAATCGAATTCGATCGCAAACGGTCTCCACGAAATACCTTGGCGTGTCAATGCATAACGCGAGTCAAAATTATGCTCAATGGAGTTATTCTGGCGGTGTTGCTACTATGGAACAACCTTCCCCTTGTTTTGTCGCACGTACTGGAAGTTGGGATCCATTCATTATCTGGATCGTCGATACAAATCATGTGAAAAATTGTGAAAAAGATGATCATCATCACCATCACCACCATCATCATCAACAGCAGCAGTCGATGTATCCAAATTATCCTCGACCACCACCATCAGCCATCAAGACAAACTCTGGTACACCGATCCCGATTCATTATAATCAACCGGTTGTACTTCAATGCTTGACAACTGGTATGACAAGCCCTGTGATGGTTATTCGTAAAGTTGACAAAGGTAGTAATGTGATCGGCGGTGGACTCGTGGATAATATCGGAATGTATGGAGTAGGTGAAGAAGGTTTGTCTTCATAACTTTTTTTTCAATGATTATAACGGAGCATCATGTTGATGATTTTTATATTTTTACTAGCTCTTGGCGATCCAGTGTCTCAGTTGCATAAAGTAGCTTTTCAAATCAAGGATACCAATGCGTCAAACTCTCAAATGTTTTCTTCGCCAAATCAAACACATCCACCGGGGCCAGGCACATATTTGGCATGTCTTGGTGATGTTGTTGGAATGCAACGTGCTAACGAAGGTCGAAAAATGATCACACCTTCTACACCTACTGCCGCTACACTCAACCATAACACTTTCTTGGATATGATGTCAATACCATCATCAAATACGACAAACACTGATTACACCCCAGAAATCGCTGCTGCTTGGAACTTCGCTTCCACGGCATCAATGAGCGAATCTCGAGTTGTACAATCGGAAGGTGGTAAAGCTATTCGCAAACGACGCGTTTCAACATCTGTCGCTGTAAAACCTACTACCCCGGTCTCTAAATCAATAAAGAATAGACGACGAGTTAATAGTTTGAGTGGTGTAGCTAGTGAGGTGGATTTGGCAAGAATTGTTGCTGATGGACGAGGTAATGCAAATAGTAATGCGCGAAATGTAAATGACAATGCTGGGGCTATTTGGACCGAAGATGTTACGGATTCAGCTGTCTGGACCATTGTCGGAACTGGTAAGGTTCCCTTTTGAAATTTATTAAGTAATATAATCTTTATCTAATAAGTTGTTCATTTTATTTTAGATTGTGCGACGTATACATTTTATTCGCCACCAACAATTGTTACGCGACAATTAGAGTCCACATCACCTTCAGGAAATTGTCATCATTTACAACATCAAATGCCACCACCACCACCATCTACTCCTGTCACTCCTATTCCGATTGTCACCAGCATTACAACGGCAACATCCACCACCACATCGTCATCAGCTTCTTCAACTTCATCCAACACTATTACCATACACGGAGAAAATTTCACTCGTGATTTGATTGTATGGTTCGGCGATTTACCAAGTCCAAGAACTGAATTCCGATCACGTGAATGTTTGGTGTGTTGGTTACCCGATGAATTATTATCTCCTTTTGGTGGAGAAAACCAAAATAACCACAAAAATTCGGATGAAACCGAGAATAGTCCTTCATCCAACAATAGACGTGGAAGCTCTTCTCATCAACAATTATTGTTGCATCATCATCACGTTCACACTCAGAGTGGCGGAGCGCGACCAATTTTGTTGAGTCGTAACGACAGCGTTGTCTTTAAAACTGGAAAATTTTATCCGTAATCATTATAACAATAACAACAATAATAATTGTTGGTTTTTTTTTCTAAAAATAAAATTACTAAATACATCATTGTTAATTTTGGAACTTTTTTCTCTACCCCACGTCTTCATTTGGTATTAATCTACCAATTATCACTGTTATTATTTTTTTTTAGATTATTTCTAATAATACTTATATAGTAGTAATAGTAATAATAATATAATTTTACTTTCTCCGAATCAAATATTAATATTATAATATGCAAGGAACATTTTCTCGTTTTTCTTTTTTTTTCGAATCATCATGTGCCTTCGAATTTTTAAAAACATTTTTTTACATTGCACATACGCACACAAAACATACATAATCCCTCTTAAGTATATAAAAAAGTAAATACAAATACCAATATTATAAAAGTGCGCGTGCAACACTCGAATTTTCTTTTTTGATTTTTTGTAATTAGTTTTTTTTCTTTGTAACTAGTTTTTTTTTCTTTTTTTTTCCCCCTTTTTATTGTTGTGTGTTTTTTTCTCGTTTACACCTACATACATGCAACTTCACATTTTTTCGAACTTACGCATCATCAAGCATTATGAGCATCTTACAAATCATTTATTTTCTTGTACATAATTTCTAGTTGTTGTTGTCAAGTCTTAGTTCCTTTCTAGTTTAGTTTTATCATACATACTATTCAAAAAGTTTTGCACTAAGATTTCTTGTGAATATGCGGTAGCTGGTTGATTGGTTTGGGGTTGAACGTTGTCGCTTGGACCATCCTCAAATGGTTATCCTTGCACCACATCATCACCTTGACCATATCACACTACACATACCACACACACACCCCCTTTCACACCTTTAAAACCAAAAAACTATACGCGGGTGACACGATGAGCCCCCGCGTATATAAAAATATATATCTCTACATATACCAAAAAATAATGTTAAATCACACTCAAAAATATTAAAAAAAGTTTAAAGTGCAAGCATTACGCATGGAAAAAAAGATTGGGATGGTTTTGAAGTGATGTTTGTGATTGTGTGTCCTTGCTCTTGCATAAGAAAAAAAATTGTTCGTTATGTGATCTAATGCACTTGATCTCTCTTTCTTAGCATGAATTTATTGCATAATTGCATCATTACACACGAAAAAATGCAATTGTTGTCTGATACGCATGCACATTCAAAAATGAAAATGTTTATTTTGCAATAAGCGAAGAGGTATAAAAGATGAAGCTTTAGTAGGAATTTGCAAGCACAAGAAGAATTGAACTTTGCGGGGTAATATATATGGTATTGTTTATGGGTCGTTAAAAGAACTTAATTTTTGTGTAAAAACCTTTCTTAATTAATTGGAGTTCATGTACTTGTATTTGAAAATAAGATCTGGTCACATGATTTTTTAAGGGTAAACCAATCAATTCGTTTGATTATCATTGAACTTGGTAAAATGTAAATCTCGAAAATCATGTTTTGTTGGAAAACAATCACAGAAAGTAGTTTCATAAGCAAAACTTTCGAGATATAGGCTATTTTTAAAAATAAAACATTTGTTCACACCCGACCTTTTTCTCATGACTAGATACTTATTTTTTTACTTATCACACGGTCTATTTTTGTTCGTTAAAAAAATTCACAACATTAATCTATTTTTTGTTATCGTTAAAGTTGTCTGGCAAAACCTATTTAAGAGGCAAGATCTTAATATAGACTCGACAGTAACCTGCCAAAGCCGTAGTTATCGATCGAAATTTAAGATTGTAACATTGTTCAAAAATTTATTTTATTTCTTTTAATCCATAACTTTAGAATGTTAAGTGAATCTCTACTATAATGTTATTAACAAAAATAGCAATATAAAAAGGCCGTTCTGATACATTGCTATAACGAGGATCTGGTTTATGGGGGAGGGTTTACGTGATACTGAAATTGTTGTAACGCACCAAACTTCTTTATGCACTCCACATTTAATACGTTTTAAAAATTAAATTTTTTGATATATATGTATATATTATGAGTCAATAAAATTTCACCAAATTGATTTTAAATACTTATTGAAATAAGTATTATAACTTAATAATATTTTTAAAATAATGCAGTCTTTGATATAAAAAAATCATGATTTATTATTTTGAAAATAAATTTACAGCTTTTTGTGATAATTTAAAAAGCAAGATATAAAATTGTCAAATTTATAATAAAAATAAAAACTTATAAGAAATCAAAATATAATAATATAATATTTTTATATAATTTTCAAAAATAAAAACTAATTTTTATATATATTTTATTTAAAATTTAAAAAATCAGATTATTATATTAAAAAATAAAATTTTGCAATTTTAAAATATAATATAAATTGTTAAATATAAAGCATTTAGATTAATTAAGATTGATTAAAATATTAATAAATAAATTATTATATTTATCTTATTTTAAAAATAAGTACAGTCAGATCTTTCTATAGTCATCACACTTGGAAAAGTAAAATTAGATGACTAAAGAAAGATGTAACTATAAAGAGATTTTTTAATTATAATTAATTAATAATCAGAAAAGATGATTATAAATAAAGATAACTATAAAGAGATATAACTATAGAGAGATTTGATTATAGTTTTATTTAAGAGAAAAAAATTATTTTATTTTAATATATTATAAATATAAACAAGAATATATATAATTCAAATATTATTAGTATTTTAATTTATAAAGAATATTTTAATTATATTAGCAATTTTATTATAAGTTAAAAATTTATTAATAATTTCAAATTAATTAGATAAATTTAAAATTTTAAACTTATATATAAAGCTTTTAATTAATTTATAATTTAATTTGAACTAACTAGAATTAGAAATTGAATATTAATTTTATTTTAAATATAAATATTATATTTGAAATTTAAATTTGAATTTATATTAAAATTTATATTTATTTAATTTATATATAATCTATATTTAATAATTTTATATAATAAAAGATTTGCTTAAATTATTAAAACAAAGTATTATATAAAAAGTTTTTTTATAAAAAATTTTTTAAATTAATTTAATTTAATTTAAAAAATTTGAATTGAATTAATTTAAATTTATATAATTTAATTTGAATAAAGATTATTTATAATAATTAATAAAATATGATAATTTTATATAATAAAATTAAAACTTTTTTATTTTAAATTAAAATTTAATAATTAAATATAATCTAATATAAAAATATAAATATATAAAAATAAAAATTAATATTATTTTTAATAAGAATTTATAAAATATAATTAATACTTATAATTTTTTATATTAAATAAAGTATATTTTAATTTTTTTATATTATTTTTAATAATTTTTATACTTTAATTTAATAATAAAAAGTAAAGCTTTTTCTTATAAAAAATAAAATTTATAATTTTAAAAATTATTATTATAAATAAATTTATATAAATTAGTATAAAAAGATTTATATCTTAATATAAAAATTAATAATTACTTTTAATAAAAATAATTTAAATTTTAATTAATTTTTATAATTTTTTTATATTAAATAAAAAATAATCTAAATTAACTTTTTATATTATTTT